AACATCTCCTACAGGTTTGACCCTACAGGGGATCAGTGCTGTTGAACCCACAGCCTTTTCAAAGTTTCACACGGACTTTGAAATCTTTTTAATATCCAAAGGTCATCTGTCCTCAGGGAGCGGTGTCAAAACAGACCGGACTTGGCTGAGAAGTCCCTGGACTTTATTCTATAATGTTCTGTCCTGTTCTAACGTAAGGCCCAGGTTTTTGTTCAGCAGATTGGCCTCATTGTTGTGTGAGATTCACATGACCGCTATGATGGCTTTGTGCTGCACACAGCCCATTAGAGGCCTACTGACAGTGTTGGTTTATGACCAGTTTAATCGCCCTGAACACACACACACACACACACAGCTGCTGACACAGGAAAACCAATACAGTTGTAGCTCGAGTACTTGCAGTAAGCTTAATGGTTATTCTCAAATATATTATTGGATTATGGTCATTATTTTTAAGTGAGCACTAACTCGGTGTACGGTTTAGTGTTACACACAGACTTCTGCTGAAGGAGCTCTGGTGACCGGAGAGTTCAGCATTTCCTCCCAACACAGGGAAACCTTTCTGTTTTGATATTCTCACCACAGCCGCTGCCTTGACGCTGCTATCTGCTGCTATCTGCTGCTGTCTGCTGCTCGGTACTTTGTGCACACACTCGCGTTCACCTCATGATCAGATTGCAGTGTTGTGCAAACCGTCTGCTGTGTGTGTGTTTACATGGTGAACAGCGAGGTGACATCGGGGTCAAGTTTCAGGCAAGGCAGCAGCTTTTTGATTCCTTGAAACCTCCACAGCTGTAAGAATATTGGTGGCAAGTGAATTTTGGCGGCCTGTAGAGTAGTTTTTAGTTTATTGGGCTCACACAGTTGAGCACAGTCTGACCAAACAGAATAAAGAAATACAACCCAACATATATAGTACAAAAAGCTGTGTGCTGTGGGAAAGTTAACCAAAGAGCAATAGTCGTGGTCATACAAACTTCCTCAACAATGTAGACATTCTGGGAAGTGTGACGCAAGTGGTGACTCCTGTATTGCGTTACTGTACAATAAAATGGGTGGGAATGGGTGTTTTGGGGTTTTTATTTTTTTGTAAGGATATGACTTGTAGGGTTGATAAGTACACGAGTCATTAATAGCCACTGTAGTTTCCAAACAATGTGTACTCCAATTACAGCCACTACCGCACACACAGACACCTAATGGCGAGTGTGCAGGGGTTTCCAGGGCATAAAGGTATTAATAGCCCACAATGCAAGTGTGTGAGTTGCCAGATTGGCTGAGTCGGTAAATACTTGGTAATTCTGTTCATAGGAGCAGTTCTTAGTAAAAGGACCGCTCTTCACTCCATCCCTCGGGAGACGTTCAGGTACACCTGTTACAAGTCTGGAGCAGCAGCTGTAATGAGTCTACAAAGAGTCAGGGAGGGCTGTGGTCTTGGTCCATCACTTCTAGCTGTCTGCAGACCTCTGCTGGAGGCTTGTGTGAACTGCGTTATTGTGTATGTAGGACAGGGCATCACGTAACACTGGTTATGTCGTAAAAAATCATGACCTCATTTTGTAACCTTTATCTAACCAGGAGAGTCAAACAAAAAGCAGAAGACCTAGAGAAGGAATACTTAATATTCATAAAGTAATTCATATATAAGTGTGTATTCTAATATTAATATTGTAAAGTTGCACACAGTATCCTAATGTATTTATTTACAGACTGAACTGTATTAGCAGTCTGATTCATCATCAGGTCACATTGTGCATGAATAAATGGTAACATGTACATTTATTTGTAATCACTGTGGGATGTTTTGAGAGATATTTTCTTTGATTGTAATGTTTTTGCATATTATTTCACTACTGTTCATTGTGTTCTCCTCTGCAGGTCGCATTCAGGCTGTTACTCTTGAGGTGAAGGAGGGAAACTCCACCTGCATTAAGGCTCAGCTTTCTGCATCATTCTCCATCTCATACAACACCTCCAACAGCACAGTGTGTACAGCGATCGCAATATTCCTGGTACATAGCTGAAAGTGTTCACATCGATTTCATTGATTGAACACCAGTCATGTGGTTTGTCTCTCCTCAGAGAAATGTGCAGGTCTCTCTGCCCGACTCCGCCACAGTCGACGCAGGCAGCAGCTCATGCGGCACAGCCAGCAGCTCGCCGTGGCTGGTGGCAGCGTTTGGACCCGGCCACGCGCTCGGGCTGAGCTTTTCAACCAACGGAAGTCTGTACAGCGTCGCCAACCTGACGCTGCAGTACAACCTCAGCGACTCTTCAGTCTTCCCTGAGGCCAACAGCTCTGGTGAGAACAAATGCCACGACAAACTGTTTGTTCACATGTACATTCACACTACATCTAAACATATAAAGCGCCAGACCACAGCAGAATGTCTTAGTGTGCAGTGTTGACTTTACAGTATGATTCAGTGGGTTGAGATGTGTTGTATCTCAGAACAAATAAAGAATGAAATGTAATTAGTTGCTACTTGCTAGTAAATATACAATACAGAACACATGGGCTCGTATTCCACAGGTAGTATATTACAGATTTATAACTACTTTGTTGTACGTTTGATTTTGTCCTAGACGTGGTCACCGTGGTGTCGTCTTCAGTCGGGATCTGGGCGACGATCAACACCACGTACCGCTGTGTGAGCCCCAGCCCTTTTGGAGTCGGTGGAACAACTGTCACTTTCTCTAACATGAGGCTGGAAGCGTACATGCCAGGAAATGACCTGAGTCCGACAGGTACAACTCTGATTGTGTCTTTGTTCCTGAGCTGGTCGCTTTCTACGTTGTTTGGCCTGCTGGTTACATTTTTTTTTGTTTGTTTTTTATCATTTCTCTTGTCACAGAAAGCGTATGTGTGGCAGATCAGGCCAGTACTACAGCTCCACCTACCACTGCCGGCACTACAACAACCGTGGCTCCAGCACCAACCCCTCCTGGAACACCTGAGCGGGGCATGTACTCTGTAAACAACAGCAACGGCACTGTGTGTCTCTTGGCCCAAATGGGACTGCAGCTCAACGTCTCCCATTTCTCTTTATCTCAGAATAAGGTAAGAAGAGAGCTTTTACGTGAAAGGACAGCACACAGTGAAATAAGTGATAAATACGTCTTAAAATGTATATTTGTCTACTTTGCCAGACTGTCCAAGAATTGGTAAACTTGGCTCCCAATCTGACAAATTCATCAGGATCATGTGAAGCCAGCAGTGCTACCTTGGTTTTGACACAGGAACGAACCACCACTCTCAACTTCACCTTCACTCTGGTAAGATCATCCCTCCCCCAAAACCAAACATCAGTTTTTCATTTTGTGTGTGGATCCAAGCACTGATTCACCACCTGTCCTCCCGTCCACAGAACTCTACGAGCAACAAGTACCACCTGAGTGGGATAACTCTGCTTGCTAATTGGTCTGATATGACTGGTATGTTTCATGTCACAAGCAACATCCTTTTTTTTTTTTTCACTTGCCTCTGATTTACTTTTATTCAAAGACTGACCCCTCTCTCTCCACAGCTCCCTTCTCAGCCAGTAACACCAGCCTCAACTACCTGCGGAGTACAGCGGGGCGCTCCTACATGTGCAACGCTGAGCAGACTCTGTTTGTGGTGCCAGCCTTTTCTCTCAACACATTTAAACTGCAGGTCCAACCCTTTGAAGTCACCACCAGGCAGTTTGCTACAGGTACATCATCCCTGCTGCCTTTTTATCCCAAGTTTTCCTTATCTCTGTCCTCTGACCTTCATGTTGATAGTGATGAGGTGCTAAGTGTAGGTAGCGCTCTGCAGCATGGAAAAGATAATGAGACTTAATTGCTTTTTCAAAGAAGCAGCGGGTAGACTTTGACAGTGAACATTTTTCATGTTGGTTGAAGAAATGTGCTGATTTAAATGAATAGTTTGACATTTTTGGAGATGTGCTTGCTTGGAGAGAGTAAGATGAGAAGAACTGGATACCACAGTTTGTCTGTGGGAAATAGTTATAGGATGCAACTCGCTATAAAAACACAACTTGTCAGCTTTAGAGGGGCTGGTAGACACGTGTTGACCTTGGAGAGAGACAGGCTTGCTGTTTTCCCCTGCTTCAAGTCTCTATGCCAAGTTAGGCTCTAGCTTCATATTTGGGAGAGGATGATATCATGCTTCTCCTCTAATTCTTGGCAACAAAGCGAATGAGCACATTTCCCCAAATGTCAAGCTGTTCTTTTAAATGTTATTTCTGTTTAGCTGCATCAAGCTCATCCACACTTGACGCAATTTTTGTGGCTAATTTTCTGTCACTGTTTTAACGGCTCTGGCACAGGATATTTATTGCCACTTACAAATAATTTATTGGCTCTGTTGTTTCTCCAACTGAGGAAACGGCCATTAATGAGCACAAGAACTATTTGAATCGCTGAAATAAAATCAGTCAGTGGTTAAGTCTCCAAAGAGGTGTGAGCTTGTATACTGCAGATTATGTGTCTAAATCCCAAATTCTGCAAAATAACTTCCCTTTCTCATCTTTTCTGTTCTTCCCGCTTTTCTTCCCGTCTCCAGCGGAGGAGTGTCAGATGGACCAAGACCAGATGCTCATCCCCATCATCGTGGGAGCAGCTCTTGCCGGCCTGGTGCTGATCGTCCTCATTGCATATCTAATAGGCAGGAAGAGGAGCCACGCTGGATACCAGACTATCTGAACGGACCCTTCATGACAGACTGAATGGAGGCGAGATGAACCCCAAGTGTGTGAGTGAGCAAGTAATGACACTGTGTGGACACAAGCATGGTGAATGGAAGCAGTTGTTACTCCGTGGTGAGCGCATGTTTTTGCTTAATCCTGTTTGACCTCCTGGATATTTTATTTTCCTTTCACTTTCTCTGTGAGATGATGATGAGAAGCCAAAGACCTGCTAACTTTAGACGGTGTGCATCTTGATGAAGCCTAATCAAAGATGGAGGCAGTTTGAATTTGCTGCACCATCAGCTGTTTATTATTGTTTTTATTATGTTTTAGGGATTGGTTGAATTTGCTTGAATTGCAGTTTTTAGCTATGTTATTATTTAATATCCCACGCAATTAAAAAGGCAGAGGAAGAGTCAAATGAAATGTAGGCATATGGTTTGTCCACTGTTGGTCAGACATTTAGAAAAGGTCTGTGCAAGTAAAGACATGTCAGGTTGCGTCTACACATGCTCACAATCTCTTTTGAAAAATAAGATTATTCCTGAGACTCTTAAGAAAAGGGAAAGCTTTGAATGTGTGTCTTTTCCAATCATATTCCTCCACAGTGGAGACTGATTAAAGCCTGAACTGTCCCAATAGTGCAATGAGGCATAGTTTAATCCAACTAATTAAACACAGTCTGCTAATTGTGATGATAAAAACAGGGATTTGCTGCTTTGTATAAACAGTGTGGCGGTCCAGCCATACGGAGTGCAACTATGCATTACTAAAATGTATTTAACATTACAAGTGAACAGATACATGGGTTTATTTTCTATTCTGGCTTTCCCCCGCCCTCTCCTTAAGGAATGTTAATATGAATTGTAGTGATTTGATCCATTTATTTTTATAGAAAATGGTTTGATCTCGTTTTCTATTATGCATCTTACTGAAAATTAATAAAAACCTCAAAAAAAAAGTCCAGCACTGGTTTTGTTTCTTCATGTATGTACAGTAGCTTCATGATTTGTTTTTTTATCTCGTATTGTGTGAAATAAACATGGTTGTTTACTCTGAGCTGTTCAACCAGGTGTACATTACACAGAACAATCAGAGCTGGGATCAAAGCCAAGGTTATTTTTGTCCAGTGCAACAAAATCTGATATCCGTACTGTGAGAGTTTAATGGGCCACAAAACCCAAACACAGAACAAAGTGGACACAGCCCTTTCAACTGTGTGGAGATCATATCATCATAGTGCAATTGAATTCATGTTTGAAGTCAGGAACTATGACATTTACTCAAAACTTAAACAAAATCAATAAATACATCAGCCGGATTTGAAATGTTTGAAATAAATATGGCATAAAATCAGTATGATTCACAATCGATTACACAGTGGGCAGTGCCAGCATGGAGTTTCATCAGTCATTCAATGGGAAATACAGTAGGCAGGTTCCTCTTGGCTGCATTTACAGTGTGCAACATAATTTATCTGAGCTGGCCATTTAGTGCCAAGCTTCTTTCTCTACAGTGTCTCTGACGTTCTGGAGTAAAGTGCATAATTCAGCATTTTAACAAGACAATCTACATGTGAATTTCAAATGGAATCGTCAGCTCATACAGCACATTGCTAAGAATGTTCTCATTTGACCATATATTTACACTGAGGCTGTCTGATCTCCGAATATGTTTAAGACCAAAACTATACAGCATGTAGTAGTCACTGTGACATTAAGTCAGTACAAAAGAAGAAGAAGGTGCAATCGAGCTGTTGGGTGCTCATCCCAGTGGAATGTGTATTGAGTTTAAGCAACAGGTAGAGGAGTTTAGGATTCTTCTGCAATGATGCGAGATCGACATGTTGCCCGCAGTTTAGTCAAGGTCGCCGTGGAGAGGCTGCCTGGTTCAGTGAAGATTTTCTAGGAAAGGCAAATAACATCAGGATTATAGGATTAAAGAAGGCAAATTACAAAGCATGTTTGTTTTATACTTGCTGGTCTCTGCTCTAGTGAAACAACACTTTTAATAACTAGCAGCGATTGGAGGTCCTCTCTTTTCTTTTACCTGCATAAAAGTGTGGCATTCATCAACAAATGGTCCGTGGGTGATCTGCTTGAAGCTTTGGCAGACGTCCGGCAGTGACTGGGCCTGTTGGATCAGAGCCTCATTGTGGTGGATCAATGTCAGAGCTACACGGAACAGGATTTTAGAGCCCTCGTAGAATAGGCAGTCCCAAATCCTCAGAACTGTCTGCAGAAAAACAACAACAAAAGGAGTAAATCCCACCAGCAAACTCACGCGTAGTGTTGCACAACTTTTTTCCTCAGTGTCCTGCAACAGTCCTGAACTCTTTCAGCTGTCACAGACTTAACCATTGTCCCAAATTGAAGTTGTTCCTAGTTGTTCCCTGCTCTTATATCCAAATAAAATATTTAAAATCAGCGCATTGGCCACAGTCAGTTATCATCACTCTTTAGTAATTAGTGGAGTTACTGTTTCTTGTTTATTTCTAACTCTTAGATTAAAAAAATGTGTCATTGCAAACTGCAGTGCAAGGAGCAGTCTATATAAGTACTGAAAATGGCATACCGTACTCTTGTAATCATGGGGTTTGTTAGGCCCTGATATTTTCAGTCACTTACTGTATTTCTACTGCAGCAAAAAAACGTTTAAGGAGAAACGGGTAAGGAGAGACAATATGTTAAGTAATTATCATATTTCAACTGATATTTAACCCAGTTTAACATGTTATTTCCCATATATTCTTCCTTTCCCTATGTTGCACTTCCTTAACTCAGGTGTTGTGGAGCAGAGGAAAAACTTGGACGCTGAAGCCCTAACCCTGAATCAATCTGGGGATAAGAAATTAGTGATGAGTCATGTCCTTTCTGCTGCAGTAGCAACTCCTACTAGTCGGTCGCAGTGCCTGTAGGTGAAATCTTGAGGGAATAGCGTGAACATCTGCAAGTGTTCCGCCCTCCTCGTGAACCTCCATGTGTATTTGGAGAACAAACATTCAGTTCATGCCCCACCCCAGACCAGCAGAGGGACTTGGCAACAACAGTGACTGTTGTATGTGGTGTGTTGACCGTTACAAACTACTTACTACTTCACTATGATGAATGGTGTGCTTTGACAGAGCTTTTATTGTTTGAGAGATAAGAAGCACATTTTAACAACATTTATTTTCATAATTAACTTTGCTGTCTCATACACTGTGCTGCATACAGTCCTGAATGCCAATGACCAGAATTCATCAAAACGCACACAGATACACTCACCTCTACTGGTAAAACGTCGATGTAGAGACAGATGAACCATCGGGAGACCACCAGGGTCCACATGACATTGTGATCCACCATAGTCTGCCAGACTCTGGGGACTTTAGCTTTCACCAGTTCCCCTAACACCTCCTGGTCCGTTTTCAGTCCCAGCATGGCTGGACTGTAGTAGTCTGC